TTTCACTGATCTTGGTGGCTTGGTGGTTGAAGAGGAAGGAATGCACCCGGGGAAGAAAGGTGATGTATTGACCCAGTTTTCCAAAGGAATTTATTTCGTCAGTCCCCAAAAGTAAGTATTTGCTCCGCCTGATGAGGTGGGTCGGAATTAAATACCGAGTGCCTTGATGCTAGGCTCTCATACGTTGCAGTGTGGATGGTTGTGAATTTGTGGCCAAAATCAAGCAGATTTTCGGTGACTGTCAGTCTTGAAGCGCATTCCCCAAAAGTCGTATTTTTCCAATATAAGGCTCAGTGACCTAAATCAAGCAAAGTTGTCATCACAATGTTTTAAACCTTAATATATATTATTTTTTTTACATTTATTCAGTTCCTGTATGGGAAAGTTTCAACGCCAAATTCATTGAATCACCCCCTCCCCCTAGAAGTCCGAATTGGAATGTAATCGAAAAAAGCTTTTCATTGTGTTGAAGACAGAAATAAATTATCTACCGCGATGGTGATTGCCGGAGGCCGGAGTGCGATGTATTATGGAATTCATCACGACGAAACTGCATCTTGACGTGACGTGATGGTTTGCTTTCCTCCATGACCCTACGGGTTACACGGGATGGCTTTTCACGGCGAGTGAACGGTGTACGCGTGAGAACCCGGATGGGTTTAGACCTGGATGAGGTTGTATAGACCACATTTTTACCCTTCACCAAGATCGTAGACACACCATTTCCATCTTTCGTGATCTGAAAGTAGGCCTGGACGCAGTCGATCGCTCTAAACTATGGTGCTACCTTTCACTGAAGGGTGTGCCCGAGAAGTCGAAACCGAGTCTATGCTGATGGCACTTTTTGTCCGAGTTCGCCACAGAAAGCGATGTTCGTCAGGGTTGTGATTAAGGAAACAGCCCTCTAGTGGCATTGATTTACTCCAAGGTGAAAAATTTTCGGATCTGGCTTTGCAGATTGTATTGTACTGCTAAGTGAAAATCCAAGTAAGTTGCAATATTTTCTGGATAGTTTGGATGCTATAGTGTAGCCATGTTCGGTAGGCCTTTCACACCTTCAAAGTGTTAAATGTTGCTATACGATTGGGTCGGCCCAGCCACCAAACTCACCCTGATTGAAAAAGTAATAGAGGAAGTAGACAGCTATATCTCACGTGGCGGATTAGTCCAAGATGAAGAGTCGGCACGCAAAAAGAAGGCTCATTTAACATTGCCAACTTGAGGCATCTGTGGTGAAGTTGCGAAATCCGGCAGTTTGTGAAGGGTTGAGTGTATGTTGCTGCATTTCAGCTGGTATTAATTTACGGTGAAGAGATTTGGCCATTATTGGAAAGGAAGAAAGATAGACTGTCGGTGTTCGAACACTGCTGTCTACCCAGCATGGCGTGAGTTTGGTGATGAGGTTAGACGCAATCGCGCACCGGAGGCAAGTGGTCGTCTTCCTAAGACGTCTTTGGTTGGGACATCTGTTACGCATGTCACCAAACAAATTGCCACGGCGGGCAGTGGGGGGAAAAAGTCAAAGGTGATCAAACAAAGATCTGGTACGAGGGTATAAAAACCCTAATCGGGAGACTCGGTCATATAGACCATATAGGATCCCTGTTTTGGGACCCCAAAGTTATGCTAGCCGGTGATTGGAGACACTGAGTGATATGGCCGAGTGTCGCAAATGGTGGCGCTCATGCATCTCAATTTCTGGACCACTTTAGTCTACTACAATTCTCCACTTTCTTTTCGACACTACTTTCATTCGTCTAATTTTCCGTTCAAACCCCTTCATCCTCCTGATGGGCAGTCATGAGGCAACAAATAAAGCCGACAAACGAGAATGAATGGGTTGTGCAAACTAAAATCCAACTGATGTGCTGGAAGAACCTGAAAAATATGATTTGAGTCCAGAATCAGTGAATTTCATGTCCAAATGAACGGCAAAAAAGACGAGGGGACACACAGGGTATTAAAAATTGACAGTTGGCATACTCGTTTATTGCATGTAGGTCATTTTTCTAATGATTTTTTCTACTAAGGTTTAATTATCTTATCTCCCAATCAACCCTCGTCAATTTCGAGAATTCAAACTTTATTCGGCATTCGACTAACAGAAGGAACAGCATAAATGGATAATACTATTACAGATAAGTTATGTCTGTTGCGGGAGCTAACACCACCTTCATTACCGGAAATTAGACTCCAAAAGCTAGTCTTTGGACGCAAGAAATCTGAAGAAAGTTACGATGTCCTTCGAGTTCGATCAATACCTATGTGATATATTCACAGGACTTTACCACAGACGCGGAGAGTGATTTATTCAGAGAATAGCATCAAATAGCAGTACATGAGACCACATTAAACGACAAGCCTCATATGGAACAAGTCATCACAATTTATATATATATATATATTTATATATGTGTTCTTCTCTACCGACCATTTTTGTCCCTTGTTCTCATTGTGTTCGACTCGGTTCAACGTTAAACTGGTGCGCGCGGGTGAGGTTAGTAAGGGAGGTAATTGTCCATCCGTCCTGGTTGCGGTTTCGGTCCGTTCTCAGGTCACAGTGTGATCTTTTTTCTTGCATTATTTGATCCTCGAATTGCATTGGCATGTACACATGATCCAATTCGATTTGTTTGTTTATTGAGTTGACTGAAGAGTGCCAAGCCTCGAGAAATTCTGTGGCGTGTTTTGACCGGGCTTGGTCGATAATTCTCACTGAATCTAAGTCAAACTGATGTCCTTCTTGATCTTCGAGGAGGGAAATCAAAGATAGTGGGTCATGTCTCCTGACTGCCGCTTGGTGTTCACGAACCCTTGTTGACAGTTTTCTCCCAGTTTGTCCAATCTGGTGTTTTGAGCAGTTCTTGCAGTTTAGTGGATTTTGTAGATAACACTGCTCTTGTTCTTCTCTATTAATCATTTCTTTGGTTTTGACTGAAGTCTCTTTAGACAGGCGGTCGGTTTCGTGAGTGATTTAGATTCCATATGATCTGAGCAGCCTTGCCGTTATCTCCGAAACGCCCCCGATTTACGGCAGAGTTGTTCTTGTTCCCGATTATCCGTCTTTTGTTTCTCTCTTTCTTTGGGTCAGAGTTCTTTTAATAAAGTTGCGGGTTTAGCCATTGCGAGGATATACTCTGATGAGATATCTTTCTTCATTCTTCTTGAGTATGTCGGTGCTGCAGTGCGTTTGGGTTCTTCCGAACAATCACCCTTCGGATACATAAAGCTGATTTGGAGTTGCACACATTTGCAAGTTTTGACGTGCACGCATTCGTCCAGACAAGTTTTTATGATCAATCAATGTTGCATCGCGTGTTGTGCACACATACATATACACTATATATATGAGAACAAAACACGAAATAGCGAACAAGCTCGTTTTCGATAACTTCCTCATCTGGCTAATACAGTTATATAAATAGGTAAAAGGCATATCACATTTGCATAACATTTGNTGAAGTGGTAGATATAATTTGTTGTTTATGTGTGGTTTACAAGCAAAAATTGAGTGGTGGGTGGATGGGAAAGGGACGTGTCACAAGAGGGATTAGGACCGAGTCAAGGTTAACCATCACCGGTTTCGGGTACGGGGTCAATCGCAACGGTCAACGGGTCATGGAAAGAGTCAACTCCAGTCATACAACTGAATTCACTCCGTGGCCACGGCAGTTGAAGTGTTTTAACGAATCGTTTTTGGGAACAAAGCAATGAGTTAAACAGACGAATGGCTACTGCCTCAGCTGTTGCTAGATGTTGCTGACGAACAGCCTTAGATGGATAAGGAGGAACCCGGTAGATCACCGTGAAAGTGTCTTCATTCACAGTATTTTAGTTTCTCCCAGAGAATCAAGGAACATAAACCAGCCTGGTTGACTACTGCAGATAGGAAAACCATGACAAGTGTCATTGTCGAACACCTCGCCAATACCGGACATACTGTGAATGAAGACACTTTCACGGTGATCTACCGGGTTCCTCCTTGTCCATCTAAGGCTGTTCGCCAACAACATCTAGCAACAGCTGGGGCAGTGGCCATCCGTCTGTTTAACCCATTGCTTTGTTCCCAAAAACGATTCGTTACAATGGAAATCTTCAATATACATATACCATCCGAACAATGGATACACAATTTGAGCCACCATAACAACAACAACAACAAATATTTTGATGTGGAAAAGTTTGATCGTGAATAGAAGTAAAGTAAATCACTGAAGAAAAACCATTCATTGGCGATGCTCACATTACTGACCCCTTATGCTTGAAGCATAGTTTGTAACCCTCTTCCACGAAGTCCAAAACGTTAGAAATCATTCCCAGTGGTATTTCAGTACCCTAACTTCCAACCGATTTTTCCAAACTCCGTGACCGTAGCTGATCACATGCGATACAGTGTAGCTTAAAACTGTGACCGAATTAGTCTGCGAGATTATTTGAGCTCATTCAGACGATAGATAACCTATAGACAACCATGGCGAAAATACACCTGAGTTAACCGATTTTCACACACACACACAGTTCCAAAATATTTGTACTAAATAAAATAAAAGGTATAGTTTATGATTAAAAATCACCACACACGAAAAAAAATATGATTCATATCACATCATCAACTTGATGTTGGATTTTTCAACAAAATTTTATTTTATCCGCGTGAGAATGTGACTAACCTCAAGCACACAAACGTGACTCATCTGCGTTGTATTCGCAATTTAATATTACCACCCCACCCTCAAGCCACAGTGATCCGGAGTGATTCATAAGTCATACCCCTATTCACCACCACTCACCGATCACAGTCGTGCTCACAGTCATGAATAAGGCTGATCTGTTTGCTTGACCATACATCCGGATACATAGAACCGGAATGTGGCGAATCTGTAAGACTCCTCCATATTGTATCAGTTCTTGAAGAAAATTAAGTTCTCACTTTGAATTTGAAATTGAGTCCGGGATAATAATCATGTGACCAGCCTTTGGTATTCTTAAAATTTGATCACATGATCAAGGTTCTAAATCGAACTTGGTATGCCGTGAGGTGGAATCTTTATAATTATTACGAGTAAAACATGCTCTGTCCCGGAAGAATGGATAAAATGATAGTGTAAATTTTATAGGTGTAGTTTAAGGGATGATTGGATGAGATGAAAGAAAATAGTTTTGATTATATCTGGCTTTGCAGGAGCTATGGAACTTGGCCATGTGATGTATGTGTACGACAGGGGGGGGGGACATGACATTTAACTCTACCCTTTTTGTTCTCCGCTTCCATTCACGGACAGTGTTACATTGAGCATAAACAAGGAGGGTGAAGCTATTTTTAACGAGAAACACACCCATTGGGGTTCAAGCCAGATTGTAACAGTTCTTTTTGTTTAGAAATGCCTCCGCGGCAACAAATAACTTTCCAGCTGAATTCCAGTCCGATCGGTTCGCGAGGGAATTTCTTTCTCTTTAACGTTTTTAGTCTCCAGTGGGTTTTACGCATTCGAGATGTTGAAATTGTCAAATTGCTTTCGAAAACGGTTCGTGATGACCGAGAGATAAACAGGTTGTTTATCCTTGTCCAGGCTCGTCTTCAGTACTGCGTACTGTGTAACCTAGTCTTGCCGAGACTAGAACCACGAACGATTGAGTTAAGAGTCAAAACCTAGTCAGAATCTGATAGAAGTGATCTGTCTGCTAAACCCATAGAGACTGTGTTATTTATGATCGAATGAAGAATGGGCTGCTCTGTCCGCTACAGTACCATGTTTCTAAAACTGACCAAAACAGAGCACTATTGGTTTTTTTGTGGAACGAGCTTGACTCAAACAGAGGAAAATGTTGATATGACTTGATTTGTTTTTCACATTTATTCTAGGTCTAACATATTTCTATTTAGTTTACTAGATTTTCTTCCGGGAATTATTTGCGGTCATAAAGCATAATGGCTCAAATATTTGTCTTGAAAGTATAAATCAATATGTAAAAACGTAAACGTAAAAACGATCAAATGGGTATGTTTTATTTTAGCATATCGCTGTACACAGTTGCGGGATCATTTGGATTTTAACTAACCTTCACCTACATGATTGGTTTTTGCAATTATTCTACTTGCACAATTAGCTGGAATCTGATCTGATCTTGGTTCTATTTCACTCAAAAAGAAGTCCAGGATGCTATTGAGATTGGGATTTCCGAATTGGGTCTTTATCGTCCGGTTGGATCCTTCCGTCCGAATAGTCTGCTCAAAGAAAGTAAAAAGGTGCCACACCATAGTGCATAGATAACAGTTGTGTAAACTGAACTGAAGCTGAAGTGGACTTCCGTAAAAGTGTTTGGATGCCAACCGTTGCAATATTCATAAACATACATACATACATGCATGCATGCATGCATACATACATACATACATACATGCATGCATACATACATACATACATACATACATGCATACATACATACATACATACATACATACATACATACATACATACATGCATGCATACATACATACATACATACATACATGCATGCATACATACATACATACATACATACTAACATACATACCAACATACATACGCATACACATACATAAATAGATACGTACATGAATAAAAATTGCTTCAAAAATCCCAAATAAAACATTTCTTCTTAGTTTTTGTCCGTGGGTCAAACACAGACGGTTTCGTTAGATCAAATGGGGGGAGTATAGTGATGATTCACATTCAGAGCTTTGGAGCTTTAGCAACAAGTAATGAGGAAGTGTGTAAAGACAGCAACATCGTAAGGAGTAGCGTCTAATCTAAGTGATACTACACTCTTAGGAGATTGATTCCACATCCCATATGAAGCCAGTGACAGTTTATATTAGAGAATCCTGGTGCTTGTTCAAAAGCTTCTTTTTACCGGCAAACAAGTTATCCCTCGGTGCTTCACTTATCCCTCTACAAGTTTGGATCTGAACTTTCATCTTTTTTCACTTTACTGAAAACAGTGACGACAATGAGCAGACGTTCCTCCAAGAGATACTTCAGCCCGCGCACTCCGGGGAATCATTTGTCCGGGCCCGAACGAAGAACCACTCACACCAGGGGTACCTGAAACCTCTTGAGAGCTGTGTGTGTGTGTGTGTGTGCATACTGATCGCACAGCCAGCGATCTTGTTTTATCACTCCTTTGGGATGCACAATAAATCCTACTTTCTCATTATAGAATCAGCTCGAATACAAATAAAGCTATCTTTTTTTCAGGATTACATTTCACAGAATACACTGGAATCATTATTTTATTTGATCTACCACCCTTTTCCTGTCTTCTCTCTCTCTCCCCTCCCCCTTGTCCAGATACGAATATATCTGACATTTACCACTCGGATGCTCAGTGTATGGACTGTGGTCATTTTGAGCATGGAACGTTTCCTCCTGATCGTCTCACCGCTCCGATTCTATAAATTTCTCCGACCAAAGGTCGCGTGGATCACAATGGCCATCACGTGCGCGATTATCGGACTGATTAATGTGCCGTGGGTGTTCTCATTCAATTACGTGTCTGGACCATCCTGTTTACGTAAGTATATTCTCTGTGATTGTGGCCGTGTGCTGCTCCGGATGCAGCACAAACGGATGCGCGCGCGGTCGTATGGTAATATCAACGATTGGTCTCTATTGAAAGAAGTATTCTACACGTAATAAGTCATTTCACTTTAAACTATCTATCCAATTGAAACATTTTTTCTGGAGTTAAATTTGAAGTACGAGAGCACAACAACAACGCCAGATTGTCCCATGGAATACCAAGGCATATTTTGCTACATGTCAACAGCTACGAGATGACAGAAAACTACAGTTTAAATGGTTGAACAGGTTACATTAGGTTACCTATACATCTAGCCGAATGGATGAGATGAAGTTGATTGAAAAGCTCTTTCAAACTATATCGAATTGGCCTAATTCCCAGTTTCAATGGACGTTAAAGATAAACCATATTTATTGATTTGGGATGACTATCCTTCGGACTTCACTTTAATGCACAACCCTCAGTTAATCGATTCAACCGTTCGATTCAACATTCGGTTCTACACTCGGAAGTACTAAATTCTAATTTCGCTCTTATTAAAGCTCATCAGTAGTGTATATCCTTTGTCCTGCCCGGGATTTGAACTTCGGACCCATCACATGGAAGTCGTGTGTTACCCCTGTGTTAGCCAGCTCATACCATGGCTAAACCAAATTGCCAATTCATGTTTGTGCAAGTGTCGTCTTCGGTGATAGTCAGTTTCATAAATCATAAATTATAATTCATATTGCCCATCTTTGTAATCGAAATGCGTAGCGTAAAGGAGTGTGTCGAAACACTGCAACTATTTTACCTGTATGAAAATCAAAAATTGCTAAAAATGGATTATTTCATTTCGGAAAGGTAAGGATGCTGGGACAGTGTAAACCTCTGATTTTTGATATGACCATACATCCATCGGCTATTTATGGACGAAAAATTGATGTTATTCACTTATGAAATGATCAGCAGCCTCGACGGGACTCCAACCTACACGTGGATTTGAATCTCATTGTGGTTACTGAACGTTTGACTATTCAAGCACAAAACAGCTGTCTTGCGCAATCTGTCAAACAATCTAAATTAAATCTGTTTCGCTAGCAGTCGGGAAAGGTAGACATTTTATCAAGAAAAATCAACTAGTTGTACTATTGGTCTCAATCTTACGAGAGCCAAATGGAGTCTCTGAAGCTGCGTGTCAACCGTATTTATTTGAAAACAGAACTTCTGCATAATACGTACTATAGACGAGTTGCATATCGATCGATAATAATCCTTAGCCTTGCAGGTGTCCAACCCACCAAGTGTGCGATGAAAACTTTGGAGCGTACGGTTTGCGTTACAAATCTAACCCGAATATTAACAGTTAGGACTGGGTATGAATATATTCTGCTCACTTTAGAGCACAGTACACAGGTTCGCAATCACCTTAAGATCGAGTCTGCTAGACAGAAACTGTATAAAGTTGACCTTGAAAAAATCAATATATATATCTCCATGTGCTTATGAGATCAGACAGTACCTCAAAAGCGCGGTGTCAAAATTACAAGCCTCCCCCCTTCGGAAGCTACAGTTCAATAGTCATTGTTTATACTTGTGAGAACTACCATTCCGCTCGATACATTTGTTTGGAATACTTCATACAAGTCTTGCGATTGGCTCTCAGCCAATATATTTCCATTCTTGCTGGCTGGTCGTTTGGCTAGTTATTGACATTTTGGCTGATAAACCATGAACTCATTGTACATCTCAGGTGTGCAAGTTTGTCCTCAACCGGTTTAGTTGGATCACGGTTGGAGTTGCATATTATTTGCTGTATTGTTTTGATCCCATGGAACAACGCTTGACATTTAGTGGCTTATAAGTATTGGACAATAGTATTTTCACCAGGATGTATGATGTCAGTTTGTGACCTGTTCGTAATTAGCAAAAATAACAAATGTGCAAAGGAAACTTGCATGCCCACAAGTATAACTAATTCCCTTCGACAACAGGTTGAGAATGTGTTCAAATCAGCCTTGTTCTTATGTCATTGGCTTTTGTTGTTCAGTTCCATCGTTGTGTAATCGTATGCCAGTTGTAGTTCCAGTTACCACTGTCGTCTGTATGCAGGTTCAAGGGAGAGGCTTCACAACGAAGGTGAATCCCATGCTCCATGGTTCATGAATCACATGATTCTGGTTCTCATGGATTTATAAATTGACCGATCTACGGTTTGGTCTGTCACATGACACCACACATTTCATTGGAGATTAAATAGAAACGGAAATATGCTAGACTATTTGAGGATAATCGTATACATTTTGTCAAATAAAATACACTATTGCGGGGGACTGATGCTAATGTACGTTATCATCACAATGGTCGAAAAGCACACACACATGTATACAGACTGTGTAAAATTCAATCAAAAGGTTTCACTCAACACGGCCAAAACGTCTAAACTTATTATAGCTCCAATACTGTCTAGATACGAGACGGAAGCCGAGAAAATAGAAAACCGTCTGTGCGTATAAAAAATAAACGTAAATAACCCAATTGTCTGAATCCCATAAATTGAGAACTGAGGAAGCGTCAAGCTTTAAATACAGACATAATTACATATAATGAGACAGATAGGGTGTGTATCAGTGTTTTCAAATCCGAAATCTAGCCAAATCATAAAAAAGTACCGGAGTTGGAATCTCATTGTTTTCTCTCCACTAGTTGCAAACTACTCATCAATCGATCGATTGCGTCTACAGAAACAAAACTGGGATTGTAACTTCGGTCCTCTAGCACAAGACTATTGCGGGTTCTCGGTGATACGGATGCATCTGCATAGTTGACGTTGCATTCAAACGACTCCCACTGAAAATGACGAACCAATTTGAAGTCAACTGCAAAGAAATATAAAAGGTCACTGTTGATATTTATTCTCACCCCCTCTGGATTACTGTTGCTAGGTTTTAATTATTACAGCAAATGGTGAACCCAACTCGTTGAAACCAGCTCAAACATTGCTCTCTGCGGTTCTGCAGCACCGTTATTCAGAGAGAAAGAGAGAGCTAACACGGAGCTCTTGAGTAATCATTTACCCCTGCACGAGATATGCGTAGCTCGCATTCAAGTCAGAAACAGAAAATAATTTGATTAACAGATTTGTAAACTTTTCAGTTTATTTTATCACACGGAAGTCCGTATTTGCAGAACAGATGGGAAAAAAGTAAATGGTATTTTTTTAAAGAGATAGAAAAAGGCGGGTGTGTGCGGTGTGGTAATCAGAGAAGAAGCGGAACTTGATATTTCCGCCTAGTGTGCCCAAGATTGCTGCCCTAATTACATCAACGTGTGTTATTTACCCACTTTAAGCTGTACAGTCTTTATTGCTATAGATTAAACAGTGATGAAAAACCTCTCATAGGTTCAGAAAGACACCCAGTTACATTTTGCTAAAACTTGTGATCCGGTCTAAGAAAATAATTGTATGAAATGCATGTCCGATACGCTTTTACTTGATTGAATAGGCGAATTTATTTTGGACCACGATGACTATGAAGCTGCTGCAAAGTAACTCGTATCATGTTTGATTAGTGTTAATGAGAAACAACGGCGATCAGCACATACAGACACACCCTAGTGAACAAATATCATACCAGTGGCCACCAAGTGAAGCTTTTCAAACAAACTATAATGATGGAGAATGAGTGGATTAGCCCATTCGGTTTTTTTCGCAGGTATCAGGCACTGTTGCTGATCTCGGGTGTGAGTTCCACGCTTTTGAGATGGTTAATTCTCCACGAGGTAAATGTATGTGCAAAAGGTGATGACCATCAGCGTTGTAGCTCACGAGTAGGGGTTTGAAGACCCAACCCCCGAAACTTCGCCTGTTCGAGTCCTGACACGGGACGCATACTGCGGACGAGTCTGAAACAGGACGAAACACCCGTCCAGTGCTCTTTGTGTCGGTCATCATAAAATTTTCCAAACTATAATGATATTAGAACAGCGGAGCAATATAAAAGTGGTGTTGAGCAGTCTTAGTACACATTCTGTATAGATTTTTGGTCAATAGCTTACATTCCTATTTGAAAGGAAGCTCCGATTTATGAAGCTGTTGACATGGAGCATAAAGTTCTGAAAAAATCCTGTGATTCTTTCGGAAAACAGACCATTCATACTAACACAACAAAATGATTATGTTACCGTAAACATAGTTGTATTGAACACATTTCCACAGTTCCACTTATCCTTACCTCTCTAGTTTAAAACTAGTCTTGCAAACGAAAGCAAAATCGTTATGCACATGAACTATTATTCCGCATGATTGGGGACAGGGTTCGGGGAAGGGCAGGATGATTCGATTGGTCTTTGATCAGCGATCGTTTGATACATGATTTACCGATAAATAGACCCGCTCTTCCCCCGCGAAAAATAATGTGCCAAAATTTTATTTCTGAAACATTTTGATTTATTGAGGTAATTTATTATTGGGACAGGGTAGTTCGACCTGTAAAACAAGTACAGTTTAATGCAACTAAACTGTCAATGTGTGTGTGTGTGTGTGTGTGTGTGTGTGTGTGTGTGAACGCATGTCCGATGCAGACGTCAAAGATGAAACAAATACGAGGGATGGCAAATNCTAAAATAACACCCGTATCAGTATGAATGAGACTGTATCCGGGGCAATACAGTTGGTCTACGTTAAATCTAATTTCCTGAACATATTCGCATTGTATGAGAAGAATGGAAGATTTGTTCTGACCACGTGATTAATTGATCGTGTAACAAATATCTATTGAAATATGAAACGACAAACATGTACACATGAGCAATAATTGTCAATTGTGCATCAGAGAATTATACGATTGCAACAATGCCATCCTCTGATCCTGCTTGCATTTATTCATCGTTTTGGAAGAAGAAGTACGTCCGTTGCAAACAATCAGCCTAAAGGAAGCTATGATTCAGCTGAGCGAGTCACCAGGTTTGACCATTTATTTTTACTGATATCAAGCTCGAATATCAATAGCACCATAAGTAATAACCCGAGATACACTGATTCGAACATTCCAACCTCAAATTCTTGCAGACTTAGTTGCTTTAAACCCTATAAATATTCTCAAATAGTTACATTAGACAAGAAGCAATTGGGGTCCGGCTACAGAAATCAAAATACGGTCGAGGATGGAACAGAGAAACCAAGCATAATTGCATCATATCTCGTGCAAAATAATAGTCCTAAAGTACCAAGTGAATCTGTTTTTCAGTTTAGCTCCAGGGATGAGAGCAATTTTATATTGTTTCATGAAGCATTTGAATGAAATAAAGGAGAAAAACTCCAAAATAGGGATTGTGTAACGGGGGTTACTTCGCGCAATTTCATTGACACTCCTCAAGCTATACATGGTCTATGTTAGATAGATGTAGACAGGTCGGGGGAACCAAATAAAACGGTACGCCGTAGATTAGTCAGCCATAACGAACCATTTGATGACAACTGTTGGATGGTGAAATGGACACGAGTGTTTTTTTCGTGTGTGTGTGTTATTTTCCGAGAACACTATCTCCCCCGGGACCCAAAGTGGTTACTGATAGTCCCATAGAACACCATTTGTTTGTTATCGTGTACAAGTCTTGCATGAGGCAAATTTGGTAATCAGATGTATATGACTTAATTTGCTGAAATTCACGGTGGCTTACTCCTGGGAGAGGACAAGCCGGCTTTCTGAATATCCCTAATTGCACCTGTTCACGCTAGGGGATGGTGGCAAGATCTGCGCAGTTTGTGATCAAACCTGATCAAACCTTCTATTGGCAATTGCCATAGATGGAGCAGCGGTCAAAATGTTTGGCTTCCTCGCCTTACGTTGCTAATCAGGTTTTCAGCTGTCCACCGCGATGACAGCTTCAGTTTGGGCAGGTAAGACAGTGCCCGAGGCAGTTTAGGTTGAGGTCCTTATCAGATTTGGGAAGTATATGACCGAACTGTTACAGTCTTCATTGCTGTCTGAGCGTGCGTAGCCGTTAGGGATGATTCTTATGCACCAGTAATCAAAAAGTTTTAAAAGTCAATAATATTCGACACTGAGTGATCAGGTTTCGCAGTCGTACGGCAAGACGAGACGAACTGTTCCCTGGAGGAAACTTGCATTTTTGTCTTTAGGTTTGTACCTCACCTTTTACTTGACTGTCGGGCAATATGGTTGAGTCTCGATATTTAAATCTTTCAGCGGCTCCGATCGGTTTGTCGTGTATCACATTCGGGATGAGGTGAGGTTGTCGCAAAAACACTAGTTCTGGATACGTCTACGTCTTGGCTGATCACGAAGGTCTGTCGACTGCTAGGGTCAATGATAACTTAGAATTTGGGCATATCCTTACCGTGGACGACGACAATATCATCAACAAACTTTTAAGTCGATGAGGCCGAAGTTCGGAGAAATCTGAACTACCCGGTATCTTTCTATGGTGTCGCATTACAACATACTGAACCCTCAATGCAGCGAAAATAACTGGGAAGCTAAAGAACTGATGAGTAAATTCAGGATTTTTGAACGTTGTTAGTATTTCTTATGAAAGAAAAATTCCCAAAGATTCATTCTGCATAAAAAACAGATAGGTTGTTGTATACGATACGTCATACGGAATGAGTAACAGAAGACCAAAAGACCTTTCAAAGGCCATCCATCAACTTGATGTGGAAATAGTCAGAGCGTGAGCCATTTGATCACTGAATCAATTGTTAGGCCTTAAATTTCGACTTGTACAATCGTTCGGAAATGACATTTTATACCACTCCGTGAGCGAAATAATAAGTCTCATGTCTTTATCGCGTTTCCAATCATCATCGCAAAAGAAATATGCTCGCGCACTCTCTCACACCAACCAGGTAACTAAAATAGCAACAATCACCGCACTGTACGCAGAAATTGCCAAACACGGTGAACATGCTTCTCGCTCTACAGTCCGGGAAATGATTTGTTCGCTACTTCACTGTATTTTTCACACCGTCTGAGACAATAAAAGCCGGCCTTAGATTGGAAAAAAATCCTGATTGGCGAAATGGTTTGTAAAAGGTTCATGTTCAAACAAAATGTGGATGTTGGGAATAAATAGAATCAGAATTAGTCTAACCGATGGGTGGGCAAAACACTAAATCCATTCGAGATTCCAGAATGAAACATAAACGTATAGACTTATTTGATCCAAATAATCACCAGGATCGCGCGGATATGCACAGAAGATGAGAGATATTATTCACGGAACCATTTTATTTATAATCTATCGATAGTGTATCAGACAAATAATAACCACCAAATGTGCTCTGGGGTATCTATGCTTGATGTGCGGTGGTGGCCCGGTGACAATGTCATCAAACTATCACCCCCGGGGACGCATGTTCGAATCCCACCATCACTACCGCCTCAACCACCACCTATTCTTCTGCATTGTGTGTTGTATGGCGTCCATTTGATTGGTCGCTTCTCTTTCCTGAAAGTTGTATCATCCTGTATTCAATAAATAGAGATAGACAAAGAAAGAAAAGTTTGAAATGCGACCTGACCAATATAAAAATTAGAACTTATTCACTGTGGACCAAAGTCCCGTGTTTGATACCAGTGCATGAATGTGCACACGAAGAGATAGATGGTTTAAAGAGAGAGAGAGATGGATAGCAGTGTCAGTCTTAGTGAAAAGTGATGTCTGATCAACAAGGTACTCTGGTATAAGGCATCTTATTCCCCTTTGGATTGTTCATTGTTTTGTAACCGACTGGGCTATATGTCAATCATCAGCGGTGCATCGGAGGAGATATGATTACGGTATACCAGATAATGCAAAACCCAAGTTAGCCGTGTTGCCCGTTGCTAAAATCATCACCCAAAGTTCATCTTAGAGGACATCCGTTCAAACTGGCGGTCTCAAAATGCTGACTGGAATGCCAATCTCAGTCATTCACAGTCAGAGTGTGTTTCGTCTGAAACTCACTCTCCCACTGCACTTCGTCTGTGTGCACGAAGCATTGAATCTTTCAAACTGAGACTCGATGAAACATTAGTACACCTTACATTCCCACTTGAGTGAAGCTGCGTGCAGCAGTGGAAGAATCCCGTATCATGTGATATTTTGCACAAGGAATTGTATGTATCACTCAGTGTCTTTTACACGACCGCACAAACCTATGGGACGAGAAAAGCATGAGCTTTTAAGTTATTCCTATAATAAAAAAATCGACTTTGATCATTTTATTCCGTATAAACTCATAACTGTCGTTTGAAAATATATTTTTGATCAGATGATACCACTATGTACCAACTAGTGTTACATTTGGTTAAGTACGAAACGTCGGATATACTCACATTCATGGAAAACGTTTTGTTTCTCATCGAATTCTTTTAACTTAAATCAACTTCTCTCAACCAATTTACGTTGAGCATTTTCGGACAATAATTTAAGATAATTTCATGTGAACAACTTAACTTTGCCGCGCAATCCAGTTTTTCATTAACTTTGGCTCAGCCTTGGTGTCGTCTACTCTGATTAGTTCCACTGTACCGCCGCAAAAAATGC